CCACAGAAGGTTGGTCACAACCAGCACAGACTCTCAGTGACACCCTCCCTCCCCCTCTTCCCTCCTCTGCTGCTGCCTCCCTCACCCCCTCCTCTCCCTCGGGCTCCTCAGCTCTTAACTCCATCCTCACGTGAGGGTTTCAGAGGAAAGTGACAAGTTCCTGCTGTAATTGAAAAATTAAGAAATATTTAATGTAAAAAAAAAAAAGAAGATGTAACATCGCCTAGAATAACTTGCTCTTTTAACTTCCTGTCCATCCTAAATGGAGGGTTTCTCAGGCAACAGCTCACTTCTCCAGCATCGTTCCATTTGCTTCTTATTTATTTTCTGAATTATTTCCCTATAAGGTATCTGTGTCTACAGCACACTGACTGTATTAACATTACTCACATTAGGCCATGGCCAGATTTGCTCAGTGGGTAGGGCATCAGGCTACTACCAAAGGGCCCCCGGGTTGATTCAGGTCAAGGGCATGTACCTCCATTGCAGGCTGCTCCCTGTCTGGGCCCTGGTCAGGGCACGTGCAGGAGGCAACCAATCAATGTATTTCTCTCACCTCGATGTTTCTCTGTCTCTCCCTCTCCCTTCCGCTCTCCGTAAACATCAATGGGAACATACCCTCCGGTTAGGATTAACAAATACACAGACAAATCTGAGTCCCATGGGAAGTGGTGGCAGCTCTGGCCCCACAGGCTTTTAAATCCCTGTGACCAGCCAGCGGCCAGGGCAGAGGACAGGAAGTCAGAGCCATGGGACAGGCCAGAGCGTGACCGCGGCAGGAGGGGCAGGAGCCGCGGGGCCATCTAGGGGCTGAGGGAGGCCCCGTGCCGGAAGGTCAGGCACCGCCCAGCCCGGGACTGAGCTCTGTGCTCACAGAGGGACATGCGGGCCCAGAGGCTTCTGAGCAGAAGCTCCTGCTCCCACCTCCCGACAGGGGCTGCTCAGCAGCGGCCTCTCCCAGGCTGCTCCCAGGGGACAGCGGGACCAGCTGTCCGCCTCCTCCCACCACAGAGGGAGCCCAGGGCCTTATTACTGTGCAGGGAGAGGGGCGGCCGAAGGAAGTCGGGGCCAGACCTCCATGACCAGCCCTTTCTTGGGCAAGGCGGCCAGGGGGGCGCAGGGCTGCCCGAGTCCACTCTGGGCCCAGCTGTGTGCCAGGCCTGCAACCTCTCCTCCTAATGCTTCCCTCTCACTCCCCAAGGGCTGACCTGCGCCCTGTGTCCCCCAGGGGGCGCTGTGGTAGAAGCCCCTGCTGGCTGCTCCCCAGTAGCTCAGCTGTGCCCCCTCCTGCCCCGCCCCCAGCCCCAGGCAGGTCTTCTGTGGGAATAAGGCCCCATCTCAGGCTTTTCTCTCTGGTGGGACCAAGGCCAAGTGTGAAGGAGGAGCTGAGCAGCCTGCAGACAGGGGGAGATTTGCATGGAGCCTCCCCCTGGGGATCAGGGCTCATAAGAAGGTGAGGGCTCAGCCTGGCTGTGCGGCTCAGGGAGCAGAGTGTGGGGGCCTGTGCACCATGGATGGGGCTCCCCTTCTCCTCGCCCTCCTGGCTCACTGCACAGGTGGTGCCTGAGGGGGGTTCTGGGGGGGCATCTGACTGTCACCCGGGAGCATGACCTCTCCCTCCCTCCCTGGGCCAGGGGTCTGCGCTGTCCCCTCTGATGTCTGTGTCGCCCCCTCCTTGCAGGGTCCTGGGCGGAGGTTGTGTTTACTCAGCCCCCGTCTGTGTCGGGCTCTCCGGGACAGAAGGCCGTCATCTCCTGCACCCGCAGCAGCGGCAGCATCGGGTCCGAGTATGTGCACTGGTACCAGCAGCGCCCGGGCAGGGCCCCCACCATGGTGATCTACGGAGATGATGAAAGACCCTCGGGGGTCCCAGATCGGTTCTCTGGCTCCATTGACAGCTCCTCCAACGCCGCCCACCTGACCATCTCAGGGCTGCAGCCCGAGGTTGGAGGCAGCTATGTGCACTGGTACCAGCAGCGCCCGGGCAGGGCCCCCACCATGGTGATCTACGGAGATGATGAAAGACCCTCGGGGGTCCCAGATCGGTTCTCTGGCTCCATTGACAGCTCCTCCAACGCCGCCCACCTGACCATCTCAGGGCTGCAGCCCGAGGATGAGGCCGATTACTACTGTCAGTCCTATGACAGTGGCTATACTAAGAACACAGAGCTCCAGGCTCACGGGGAAGTGAGACAAAAACTCCCCGGAGCCTGGGTCCTGGGGCTGCCTTCACCTGCCCCATTGGGGGGTGCTCTCTGCTGCCCCCTGCTGTAAAGTCTGTGTTGAGACGGGAGGCTCCTAGTCCCTCTCTGTCACTCAGGTCTCCCCTTGTCTTGATGGATTCGCCCTGTGTCCTGTGCAGTCACTCCCTGGGGGCGGGCTAGTTCAGAACAGGGTTTCTGAGCCTCCGCACAAGTGACAATGGGGTGGGGGCGAGGCCTGTGGAGGGGGCTGCTCTGCGCGTGCGGGGCATCTGGAAGCTTCCTGTGGGCTCCACACAGAAGATGCAGTAGCACCTCTTCTCTAGGTTCTCCTTAGGAAAACACCTCCTGATATTTCCAAATAGCCCCTGAGGGTGCCAAATCACCCCAGTTTGAGAACCACTTTTTAAAAGCACATGTTCTCAGCTTCTAGGCAGCCTTTAACCTTCAGGCCTGTTCATGCCCATCATCTGGATGAAAACTAGATGTGGTGTCACCTTGTGCCTCTGTGTTCCCACCTGTCAGACCAAACAGTGACACAAACTCACCTGAGGTCAGAGAGCTGTGACCCAGTCACGTGCAATCTCCTCTCATACAGAGTGTGGCGCGCCATTTCTGGCCAAACTATGAGCACACTTAATAGTTAAAACTTACCCAATGCCCATCCCTGTACCAGCTCTATGCTCCTTGATTCTCTCAGGAGGAGGTCACAAGCATGAGATAAAGGATGAATGAATCCATGACCAGGCCTCCCACCTGCGAGTCCCCGTGTTTGTGGGGTCCCAAGAGCAGACAGGAGGGGTAGGCAGGTGAGGAGCCAACAATGAGGGCGGGAGCCAGGACGCCCTCCTTGGGCACAGCCCTGTGAGTCCCAGTAACCAGAGGAAGGTGTCCCTGGTCTGTGACGTTAGTCATGAGGGTCACTGTGCACTGACTGTTGCACCATCTTCACTGGAGGGGAAACCTAATCAATCTGTCCTGTGTGTCCATGATGGCTCCTCCCACAGACGGGACTCCTCCTGGGAGTGAGGCGCTGCAGGGAGGCTCCAGTGCATCAGAGTCACAGGACCTGGGACCAGGCCAGGATGTGTGGCCAGAGACAGTCCCCT